CTGCTGCTGCTGCTGCTGCTGCTGCTACTGCTGCTGCTGCTACCGCTGCTGCTAACTGCTGCTGCTGCTTCTGCTGCTACTGCTGCTGCTGCTGCTACTGCTGCTACTACTGCTGCTGCTGTTGCTACTGCTACTGCTGCAGCTGCTGCTGCTACTGCTGCTGTTACTGCTGTTACTGCTGCTGCTGCTGCTGCTGCTGCTGCTGATACTGCTGATTCTGCTGCTACTACTGCTGCTACTGCTGCTATTACTGCTATTGTTGCTACTGCTGCTGCTGCTGTTGCTATTGTTGTTGCTACTGCTACTACTACTGCTACTGATACTGTTTCTGCTGCTGCTACTGCTACTGTTGCTAGCTAGTTGTTGCTGCTACTACTGCTGCTGTTGCTGCTACGGCTATTACTGCTACTGCTATTGCTGTTGCTGCTACTGCTGCTACTGCTGCTGTTGCTACTGTTGCTACTGCTGATGTTGCTACTGCTACTGCTACTGCGCATGGGTGTATGCAGGGGGCGGTCGTGAGGGTCGTACGACCCCCCCAAAATTTCAAAAGGTCCACATTTTTCCCAAAGACATTTTTTTTCGAGGGCCTTTTTCACAATGACATAAATGAAAAAGCATAATTGATCAGGTACCAGCAATGAGTCCAAAGACCGTGACGTAAATCGATCCCAATTCCAGCAATTCTGAAACTGAGCCTTTTTTTCAAACACAATTTTTTGTTTAAAAAAACTGAGTTCAAAAAAGAGAGACAAAGACTGACAAAGACAAAGACAAAGACAAGACAAGATCAAGACAAGACAAGATCAAGACAAAGACAAAGACAAAATAAACAGTTCAAAAGACTCAGAAAACTGTGTCAAAAAACTTGTTTAAAAAAACTGATCAAAAAACTTCACATTTTTGTTTTAAAAAACTGACAATTTTTTTTTGGAAACAAAATTTTTTGGTTTCAATTAAATTGTATTGACACTTTAATCACATCTTGCTGTTATTTCATTGTGAAAAGGTCCAAAAAATTATGATCACGACCCACCCAGAAAAAATCCTGGATACACCCCTGCGCTGCTGCTACTGCTGCTGTTGCTACTGTTACTGCTGCTGCTGCTGCTACTACTACTGCTGCTACAGCTGCTGCTGCTACTGCTCCGTCAGTTGCTACTACTGCTGCTACTGCTGCTGTTACTGCTGCTGCTGCTACTGCTACTGCTACTGCTGCTGTTGCTACTGTTGCTGCTTCTGCTACTACTATACTTCTGCTTCTGATACTGTTTCTGCTGCTGCTACTGCTGCTATTGCTAGCTAGTTGTTGCTGCTACTGCTGCTGTCGTTACTGCTACTGCTACTGCTGCTGCTACTGCTTTTGCTGCTGTTGCTGCTGTTGCTGCTACCGCTGCTGCTACTACTGCTACTGCTGCTGTTGCTACGGTTGTACAGTGTAAACATGTCAGGGAATTCCATAGTTTGCAAATGTGTCGTGGAAATAAACAAAAAACATCGTTTAACAAAGCTTAGCCGTTGTACGCTTTACAAACCTTTGAAGTACTCCGATTAATGTGTTCATTGCACAGGTTGAGGCCGATATTGCCACTTGGTCTCCCCTTCAAGTTGGCAACCCTGTTCCACATGAGGTGGTGCCGTATTTGTGGAGGGGCGAATCCTCCAACCGATAGAGTTGTAAACATAGAAGAAGATAGGTTATAGGTTATAGGCTATAGGCTATAGGCTGTATATTGACGTTAGTCACACAGCCTGGTTGGGTTATGTTCAGAGTAGCGTTAATTTACACCCCCATATCGTGAGTATAGTTAATGTGGGGGTACACTCTTAAAAATTTACAGAGGTTTTCTTGAGGGTGTTGTTAACTAATTTCTAGCAAGAAACGGGTAATTTGTTGTCGCAAAGGAGCGACAATACATCGTTTCACCCAGTATACCTCACCTTGTTTTCACGATTTCTCACGATTTCACGGTTCGCGTATTTCATGCGATTTCAGTTACCATTTATGTCCTGCGGCAGTCACATTTCTCCTCTACTTTGCCCGGGCCACTTATACGCAGTGATATATAACTTCGTCTCCGCTGTCAATAACCTGAACCAACATTGCCCCTGGGCATTTTCCGCAAATGCACTATGAACATGCCGATTTTCACGCTAACATTCGGCCATTGCAGTCACAATCTGTTTTACTGTCATATATTTTTGTTTGCAGCTTGCAGATGTGATGGGGAAAAAATAAGCACAAGGTCAATGAAGATAAGCTTCCAGATTTCAAACCGAAAACGGCTGACAGGGCATCAGTAGACTGGTAAGAATTGTGCTTACTATACACGTACGTCGTATAAACAAACCAAAGCTTCACATTTGGGGTACGGATTGTAGGTAAGGTGTCTAGGTTTGCAGTCCACAATATATGCACGATCCACTAATACTTGACTTAATACAATGCAATTTTGACCAATCAGAGAAAAGTATGCTCTATGGCAAATTCAGCGCTCAGTAATGCTCATGTACCGACCATTCCTGGTCTTCTCCTTACGAAAAACCGCCCCTAGGAGCATATCTAACCAGTAGATGGCGCCACAACGCCAGCTGTCAAGCGCGAAGAAGGCCACCGGATGTTTCTACGTGTCGGTGATGTTCCCCGAACCTGCAGGTTGTTCTTTGCAGGGTGTTCTTCATCGACACGCTGATCTTCTCGTTCTGGTCGGAGGACGAGCGGCGAGCGTTCACCGTGTGACACAGAGGTCGCGACCTCACCGACTACTTCTCTCTCTGCGCAGCCGTCAACAGGTCGCTGGAGGTACGGCGTCGCCACGGCAACCACGCGTGCGCGAGGACCCCTGTAATGTAGACTATCAACAGTCAAACTTGTGTCAGCTGTCGCTCCTGTAGAAATCTTCACCTATCTATAAAGGACACGTTTCCCTCGCATGACCTCTATATACAGGATAGGCTATATACTATATTATACTATATATGTACTATATACTATATATATACTATATACTATATATACTATATATGGTATCTAGTACATATATAATATATATAGTATATATATCATACTATATATACTATATATATTATATATGTATTATATACCATATATATACTATATATATATATTATATTTGCGTGTATATCTAAGTTCAACGCAGCAGTGTCTTAATTCCCCCAGGCTGGCGTTCCCCTGACGGACCCTGCGTACTACTCCACCCTGACGCTGGAGAAGCTGAGAGAGCATCTGGGAGGAGAAGCTGAGAGAGCATCTGGGAGGAGAAGCTGAGAGAGCATCTGTGAGGAGAAGACGGAGGAGAGATGCCGATGATGCGGGAAGGACTCGCTAACATCCGTGAAGCTGGCAGCGTGCTGGTCGAGGTGAGTAGTAGAGAGCGAGAGGGAGAGAGAGACAGAGAGAGAAAGAAATAATTTATCTTTCCACCATCACCCCAGTAATGGAAGCCGTGCCGCGCCGCCGCACCATAATTGAAAATTGGGATAAGTTTGCCAGTCATCACATTATTAAACCCTCCCCGGCTCCATCCGCACGCAGCTTCCGTAGCAGGGAATATAGAGCAATAGTCGGAAATGTGAGGGAATAGTGAAGAAAACAAGGGGAGTATGAGGCATCAGCAGGGAATTAAGAGACAGTACAGCGAAAATGACCGTTGGAATAGCGTGCGAGATAACATTCCAGCTTGCAGATGTGACAGCAAATATTGTGACAGCATTCGCATGCCAGCGTCGTTGTCGTCGTACTTATTTCGCCGTTGATCGTTTCGTGGTAGAAATTCTCCGGTTCCTTCCTGACGTGCGTCGAGCGTAGCAACAAGAGTGCATCCCGCCTGCTCCGCCTGATCGTGGACAACTTCCCGTCGTACAGAGACGAAACCACGTACGACTGTACGAGGGACGCAGAGGTAGTGTGAGCGGCATCACCATCTAGTGGTCGATGTCGCAAGCATCGAGTGTGTAACTACACTGTCATCTATTAGGGTAGCGTGCCTCATTGTGAAATGGCAGATGTCACCAGTAGTTATGCAGCAGTGAGCTGTCCAGGAAAGGTTTACACACTGGTGACATATTTACGCATCTTCAACAAAGGCCCCATCAATGCCCAAGAATATTTCCGAATTCACATTGTTCCCTTCGTGTAAAACGTGCAACAGTAGATAATGGTTTGTCAGTGATATCATTGTTCTATCATTGTTCTATCATTGTTCTCCCACTTTTCTGTCATTGTACGATTATTGTTCCATCATTGTTCTATCATTGTTTCAGTGGCACTATGGAAGCGAGCTCAGATCCTGGTAGCAGACATCTGGGCGTGTTGTGAGGGCAAAGGTCACGGCGAATTCCACGACATAGACATCCTCACCATGTTTGCCGATTGCCTGTAAGGTAACATGAACCTGTAATCAAACAAAAGATTACCTGTAATGTAACTAAAGGCCAAATACAAGGCCTAACATATTGTATTATTGTATAGGTCCTATAATTATATAGGCCCTGTAATATATAGGCCCTATAACATATTATATAGCCCCTATATTCCAAGTTGATGTATATCGGAGTGTTCAGAATTTGTGAGATGGATCTATCGATGTTGGAACATTTCCCACCTGGGTTTCATCTGTAATTAATTAATCGCTTATACGGATGCTCGCTTGTTATTTGTAGAATACCGCAGGCGCTGCTTTACTTCGGCGTTCTAGAGTATTCGAAGGAAGTCATGGATCTGCTGCTGAAAGGTGCAGAAATGTTTTTAATGTTTTCAATGATTTCAATGTTCTTACGTGTGATCATGGACAGCAGACGTTAACCTTGCAAATTAATATCAGAGGTTGGCGTGAACCGTCGATGCTTCAACGATCGAAGCTTCACATGCTCTTAAAGATTAGCCAAGATTGTTGAATGTAAAGCTACACTGCGTCACATCTGCATACATAATGCAGAATTATCGGACAATTATTGAATAATACATCATCTGGATGCAGGATGACGTACTCTGATATATTGTGATGTATTTTTTCCATATTCCAGAGTGGTGATAGGAAGGAGGTCGAGATCAGGGGCGCTAGCATCTGGGCGGTGGAGGTACACGAATATCTGTCGCCAAACATTGTTGCAATCTGTCAAGTTATCATCTAGTCACTATAAGCCTTCTGATGGAATATATAATTTCCCTTGATTCAGTTGATGGTGACCGAAAGTTCGTTCGGTTTAGAAAGACGACCGGATCAAGATTGAGTGACCAGCAGTGTCGTGCAACTGTGAATTTCTCTCTGATTTCACGCGTAAAACTTCTAACGTGATGATATCTTAATAATAATAATAATAATAATAATAATAATATATAATCTTCTCGCGTAGTTGGTCCTCGCAAAACTGCGCGCGCTCCTGCAGACAGAGGGCGCCGCCGGAGTGGACGTGAACGCCGTGATGGTTGACTTCTACCTCTGGGATCTGATCAAAACCAAGATGGCTGAAGGCAGCTCCCAGCTTCCCTTCCATCACATCAGATGCATTTACTACTGAGACTCGGTGAGGGATCTATCGTGAACAACCTGCTAGAACCACGGGGAATGTTCCTAGAACCCCCCGAGTGCACAGAGGACCCTAGCTAACGTACCCTAACCCTAACCGGAAGGTTGGGGAGGGAATACTCGGCAGTGTTACCTAACGAACAATCAACTAGCTGTGATTATATTAAAACCATTCTAATTACGATGATCTTCATGCAAAGCTGCTGTGATATCGATAAATATGTATCTTATTAGTAAGAATCTGTTGTCTACCCAGTGGAGGTAACAAACACTGTGTGACGATGTCTACTCAATAGATGTTTTTTTTAAACATTACTTATGTTGACTGGTGCATGCATGACGAATGTGATTGTGAAACAATGCAAAATAAACAACCGGTAAATAATGGTAAATAAGACAGAAGCATTTATTTCGCATTTTTGTATTCTGCGTACATAGAATGTCTACACACACACAGCTCGTGTACGTGCTCGTTGCCATGGTTACGTATCAGGAAGCGGTTACATATCATATATATATATATATATATATATACAAGAAAAAGAGCTCTAGAACAGCAGAGTAAGGAGTACAAATTCTATTGTTGCATTGGCTCTTCCCTCGCACCTGAAAACTCGCACCTAAGTGAAAGATTATATACGTATAATGTTCCCTATAGCTCTTCCACGTGTTAGCTGCCCACTTCCTCTTCCACGTGTTAGCTGCCCACTTCCTCTTGCACGTGTTAGCTGCCCTCTCCCTCTTCGAAATCCAACGACACGTGCATCGACAGAATTCTAATAAATACGCGGAAAGCTGTGTTGGAACGTGGAATGTAGGCCTACTGCTAATAAATACACAGGAAGATCAACTCAGATACAACTAGAAACGGACCTAACACATGGTTCCCACAAAAGTGAATTATTTTTTCAATGACAATCTATGACGAGTAGTTTGCGCTTTTTAGAGTCATCATATATACCCTAGATTCATATATAAAGTAAAAATAGTTGTTTTACACGAGTGCCGACAGCAGATTAAACAGCCGCTATAGGTCGCCGATTACCGACGTACACAATAGTCGTTTCATATTGTCATTCACGTAGATTCATGTCACAGTCCTGTAACAATATGTAAAGGTTATTATGTATCACACAATGTACTGTATCACTCAGAAATTTTATTATTTTAACTGCTTAACACTATTGCATTTATTATATTTTTTCTCCATGAAAAAGACTGTCTTCAGTATATACATGTAATCAAGAGCTAATAATACCTATATATAGGTATAATTATTATATACTATAATATAGGTATTATTAGCTCTTGATGTAATTGTAGTAGAATTACATGCAATACAGATTTAATAATAATAATAATAATAATAATAATAATAAACAATTGCCGGTTCTTTATGCTGACCTTTCATCTGCTGTGTCAGGCAGTAACAGTGAATAAAAGCAATCACTTATTCTAATCCTTATACTCCCCTCTCGCGTATGGTATCGCCCACGACCAATGAAGCGTGGAAAAAATTTTGCAGGTAAATGGCCGTATTTCAGCCGAAACTTTTTCACCCCGCGAGGCACAAAATGTGAATTTACGCCTATAATACACGCGCACGCGTGCGTGCAACCATACCCGCGTGTGCGCGTCCGTTAGTGTGTGTGTATGTGTGCTTGTATGACTGTAAAAACGCGTATTATAGCCGTATAATCACATTTTGTGCTTTGGTGGGTGAAAATGTTGAGCCTGAAAACCAGCCATTTGCCTTGCTAACTTTTCACCGTGCAACGGATGCCGTGGACGATACTATCCGCGAGAGGGGGAAGGAAATACTGTGGGGAAGGGAGTGAGAGGGGAGGAGGAAGGAGAGATGAGAGAAAGGAGGGACGGACGGAGGGAGAAATGCAGACGGAGATATGCACACGCATGCGCAGTACAAACGCGCACACAAACGCACGTACGGCACAAACGACAGTTACGACACACACGCACGGATGCATATATTCCTTCCAATATAGTTACGTCTCTCGCCTTCCCGCTCACCCTCACCCTCTCCGTGATCTCTCTCTCTCTCTCTCTCTCTCTCTCTCTCTCTCTCTCTCT